TAGAGGATCTTATAAACTGATCTTGTTTAGCCGATGCGAGATTGGTATAGGTCTTGTTGTCGTTGTTGTTGGTGTTGTTTATCGATGGCTTACGTTTCGGCGATTTCGCCTTCTTCAGAGTCCTGCTATTACGAGTGGCACTGGGTTTGGTATCTGTTTAAATTGTTGAGTTTACACGAGATTCTTATATAAGTTTCATTCGGCTAACGTTTCGACGTTTTCATTTTCATCAGAGTTGGTAATTCGAGTCGATGTTCCATAGTCATTCGTTTTTTCGACGTAACGTCCTCGTCTTCGTCTTCGTATTGAGTCGAATCTTCCTCAGGGGAGCATCGTACGGCTGTGATATACTTGCCTTGCGATTCGCTTTTTGATATATCTATATGCCACCAAAGTCATATTATGGACTGATGTGTATTTAGTCACCTCTAAGATGCTTGATGAGGTCGAATGCTCGGTTCATCCTTTAGGGGTTGAAAACTCCGAACGGGTTATGCTTTATCATTTGAGTGGGCTCAACTCCATATTCCATTTTTCTACGAAGATTATTAGAACGACCTAAATTTATTCGACTTTTACTATACGTACATAAACATTAGTCTACAGTTTCACAGGACGGGGAAGATTTTCATCAACGACAGACTAAGATTTGGGACCACCATTATGACAAGGTGAACAACTGCATGCCAGAACGCGCTACCATTACTTATCTTGTCATAACAAGCGGAAACGCTGAGATTGCGAGGAAACTGGATGTTTACGAGTGTGTCTGGGAAGTGATGAAAGTGACGAAGAACACTTTCCTTTCTATTCAAGATCAAATTTTTTGCCCTCAGGTGAACAACATAAGTGTGGCATAGCAATTCAACATACTAATGGGAGCATGAAGACTGAAGTTAGGCACTTCAAGCGCGTTGCTAAAACGATTTAAGCTCGCACTTTGACGATAACGGAAAGTTATTCTTATGCAAGATGGAAGTCGAATCGAGTTTTTAAGATGACAAGCAACAATTCGGCCTTCTGCTGAAGCCGTGATCAAATTTGTTCGGCAATTTTCTCAATGTCGGGTCCTACAGTATGCATCCCTGGCAGGTGGAGCAATGGGGCTACTTCAGAGCGTAAAAGGGATTGAATAGAAATATCGCCACCACTTCTGATTCGTTCGCTGATCGATGAGGAATCGAATTCCAGAGACAGTTTTACAGTGTGGAAGAAATAAATCAAGTTGTTGATGAAGAACTACAATGTCATTCATCTTCAACGGAAGTTATTGTTGGTTATGTTTCTAAGGTTTACCACTCACACTGTATCAGTGTATTTATCGTCACTTTTTTGGAGTTTTTGCTGTTCTTATGTGAACAGAATCTGTCACATATCGTTACGTCTCAATTCACAAAACTTCGGAACACTGCCATTGTGTAGCGACAACGTGATTGATCAGAGATTGTTTTTGACGGCACTTTAGGCGAAGGATCCCGCTTTTCCTACTTAGTGGGTACCAAAGTTTTTGCTAAGCATTACCAAGATCACTGGACAAATATCTGAGAGGGTTTTACAAGGCTTTCGCAGTTGTTCGTTTGCGAGAATGACAATCGACTCTTGGGATTTGCGTGTTTCTTGAAAAGAATGCTGTTTAGAGGGAATCTTTTCAGTGGTGTGTAACCCAAGATGGATGTCTTCTCTGAATAATTCTTCGTATTGATTTCGCAAAAAAGTTTGCTTTCTCGAATATTTGCGCTGCAGTCTGGAATTCCCGGAAACGGTGCTTCTTTTCACCGCTTTCTGTCCAGAGAGTGAAGCGTTTGAGAAATTGAGATGAAGAAATTCACAAGTAATCGAGAGGTGTAGTATGACAACTCGTGAGAATTCGCCCATATTTCACGAGTAGCGGCGCTGTGCACCTATAGTTTAGGCGGAACCTTGTAGTTCTGAGCTTCTTACGAAAGGAATGCACTGGAAAGTTGAATCTTCATTTTCTGGATTTTCAGCCTCATTTCCGCGTCGAATACCCAACAACTTAGGTGAGATTCTGGTTGTGCGGTTCTCGATTGCTTCTACAATGGAAAACGAAAATGTTCTAACGTTTTTTTTGAGAATCATAGTTCATTTTCACGGCAGGAACCTTGTTGTCACAGTGATATGGGAAAAAACTCCATGCTTGCGCCTTAGAGAAGAGTGATTTCTCACGACTCCCCCTGCAGACGTAGGGCATGTGTTTATATAGAAAATGAAGTGTATAAAATGGGGAAGGAGATCTCCATGGTACTGGAAACTTCTCTGTCTGGGCCCCGTTTTCGCATTGCCGAGCCGCGATTCATTATCCACAGGTCTGAGGAGCGCTGCAAAACTTCTTCGGCTTAACACAGGTTCCCCCACTATACAACGTAAATACAGCTATTTATTCGTCGTCCTCGTTTCTATGTGCTTATTTCACTGAGTGATTTCACATCTGGATTGTCACAGATTGAGGTAATTCCCGCCGAAATCCACAAAGTACATGAAAGGCTCGTTCGAGGCTGATGAAGTAGGATAGCGTAGAATTATGGGCGGGAAAGCTCCAACTTAACTTGTTACAGTCTGGCTGCAACAAGTAATGTAAATGCATTTGCCATAGAATCCTACAAATTATCGTTTTTCACACCCATGGATTTCAAATTGCACTACAAGTCGACATGGGTAAAGAAGTAGACATAAAATGCCCTTCAGCAAATTCCAACATTTGCTTTGCAGCTTGGCAAAGCAAGTCCTTCAGCCTTTTGGAGGCAGCAAAATGGCAACTGAGAAGCCTAAGAGGATAAGTAAAAGGGCACCGACATGATACATCAGTAGGCCTTGCAAGTCACTGCATAGTGCAAATATGCATTTTCACTTTGATTCGTATGGTACTATTCACATGTTGCATGACAGCACTCATCTGCTAAGGTTTTCTGTTTTGGAGAGAGGATGGCAATAGTTCCGCAACAAGTGGTCCGTGATGAGTATTGAACAACATGCCACCCGTGTCACAGCATTGCTTCCGGACAACACTATCCATTGTTTGGACTCGACCCAGGATCACTTCCAGCGTCAGCGGCTCCCGTTGTGTCGAAGGGGCGTGCCTTCGCAGGCGGTGTCCGACTCCACCCATAGCGGCAGTGGTCGAACCAGTCGCGTCGTGTGGAGGCAGCGGGCGGTGCGTGGAATCCAGAGGGCTTGCTGGCCCGCAGCCCTCTGCCCGGCCCGCGCCGGGCCTTTGCGCGCTCCCCGTGCTCGGGGCGTCCGCAGAGTGGGCGCTGCTGGTGGACGCTTTTTTGTCGGCCTACGGCGCTTTGCGGTCCACCTTATTTCGTCGCTGTTGTCAACGTGTGCATGTGTGTGTGTGATGTGCTCGATCGATTTCACTTCGTGTTGCTCTACGGATTTGTTATCCTCATTCATTCTAACTTTCAGACGCTAAGCTGTGAGAAGTCGAAGTCATGTCGGACGTGCGTGTGCAATTTAACATCCAGTCAGAGTCAGGAACCGATGAAGAGGTTATTCTTCTGTCACATCTAACGATTGTGTCGTTATCTAGTTCTGTAACCTCAACCAGGTACCGTACATCATTATCCTATTGTGTGTCAGCTAGCCAGGATTTCGCGAGCATCCGTCTTTTTGACCATTTCCCTCCATATTTGCATTGCCCTGTTGTCCTAGTACGTGAAACTTTCAGGTATTCCTACCCCCAGCACCTCTTCTAGCTGGAGCTCATGTCTCTGGTCTTCAGTCGTACTGGGAAAAATACCGCCTTTCCATCAACAATTCCGATGCTTTCTGGAAAAGTGTAGCAGAAGAATTACATTTTGCCAAGGGATCAACAAAGGTTTATTTCCGAGTTGATTTTGATTGCAGTGTGCTCTCATCCATCAAGTTAATTTCCGGCTATAGTGAATAGCTACTAAGTGTTTGTTCCATAACGTATAAAGCAATTACAATTTGTTTAGGGCTTGGAGTGGAACTTCGACGCGAAGAAAGGCGACATTTTTTGCCGGTTTATGGATGGAGCGAAGACAAACATCTCCTACAACTGCCTGGAGCGAAACATAAAACGGGGTTTTGGTAGCAAGGTGAGATTCCAATAGTTTTCACAAGAAATTCGTTCAATGGAACTTTTTTCAGGTGGCGTATATCTGGGAAGGAAATGAACCCTCGGACAATTTCAAAATCACCTTTGGCGAACTACACGCTCAGGTGAGTAACGTGGAGATATTACTGTATTTGAAGTCGTGAACATATGTTTTTTTACAACCACAGTGGCGCTGAGATATTTGCAAAATTCTGAACCACAGGTGTCTGCGGTGGGGAAACGCACGCGCTATTACCCCTTCGGGGGGCTAACGTATTCGCGACCACACCATTCATGTCTTTCGTTTCGTCTTTCTGTCAGATTGTTTTCTATCTACCATTGTGATTTCGACTACAGCCTCAGCTTAACTGGGTTCATTGCCAATGTGGGCTCCCGGATCAATCCCATTGAGGGGTGATTGCTGGTGGCACTGGTAGATAACAAACTAGCTGAGAGAATGGCGAAACGAAGGACCTGCATAGTGTGGTGGTAGAAGCGTTATTACCCGGAAAGGGTTATAACGCGTTCGTTTTCTACTGCAGACACTTACGGTCCGGAGTTTTGCAAATATCTATGCGTCATTGTGGTTGTATCACACATAATACCCAGCCGTGAAAAATTGTAATAGGCAGTAAATAAAAAGTTTACAATATGCCTTTTGCTTTCTGGTGTTTGGTATCCATTGTTATACATAGGTTGTGTTCATACCAATGAGAATTTTAGAGTGAGAGTTTAGCGCACAAAAAGTGTTTGTGAGGCTTGTGGCAAAATTTAGAGCGAAAGATATTTGTTCACAGGTGGTTAATTTTTCTGCCGTTCTTCGTGCTCATGGAATACGTAGAGGGGACGTCGTTGCCTTATACCTCCCAATGATTACGGAATTGGCAGTTGCTATGTTGGCATGCGCACGAATTGGTAGGTTGAACTTAATAGTAACTAAAACTTTTAAATCCCGTACTTAGAGTAGAATAAACCTTCGTTTAGGAGCTATGCATTCGGTGGTTTTTGCCGGCTTTTCGTCTGCAGCTCTAGGAAACCGAATAGTTGATGCGAAGTAAGTGCAAATGAAGGATCTGATGCTTCATGAGCAACACATTGTGAACGGTATGAGTCGTATGGCTCATTCTGGACTATAAAGGCTGTAAAGAAATATAAGTCTTTCAACTTTAAAAGCACACTTAAACTCATAGTGGCGTCTGTTAATCTTTCGAAAACCATTGGGATATTTGTTACTTTTGATCTACACTTCTCTTACCAAGATGAAATTCTTACTTTCTACTAGACAAAGTCTCATTTTTTCTCCAGTTCCGTCGAAATTCGTATCTCAGACGTGATAGGAATGATTGAACAAACGTAGGTTCCGGAAATATCACTGATGTTTGCCTTTGCTGCACCTGTGGTAAAAATTTCGAGAACTTATACCAATTTTTGTCTCCACAAAGGTCTCAGTTTTCACGTATTCGTGACGAAGATGATTTCTGGGCAATAGACGATAGTTCTCCGTCAGTAGAGTATTCGAAGAGTTCGGAGCTTTATAGTATTGCATTAATCAAATATATATTTTTAATAGGGCATTCTTCCAAATTCAAATATGTCTAGGCTTGAAACTTATAAAAAATTGATAGGGAGTTTTAACTTTTTAAGATTTATGATGTAAATGATACATTGAGGGACTTCATCATTTCCTGCTGGGTGGAATTCCACTTGTGTATTTGCTTTCATGCTTGAAGTATGAGCTTTGAAGCAATATTGTGGAAGAAGTGTATGTCATGTGCTCCGTAAAATCAGGATGTCATCGTGATAAGACAAAAAATTTTATTCTATAGGGAAGGACTTGTAGATTCTGGTAGCATGTACGCAGTCAGTGAAATTTAGTTTGAGATGAGATATGTTGGTTCAAATTAAAAGCGGGGTATTATTTCTACATTCTATTACTCTTATAATGGCGCGTGTTGCGCAGTGGTCTGTGGCGCCACTGCGACACACTATTGGAATCGATCCCCGCGCCTCTGGCCCAGCAAACCTTCTGTCTCTCCAGGGTCGGCAAATTCGTACCAGACTTGTCCGGAAGGATAGCACCACTGGCTCGATACATCGGTTGGCCACCGCGATTCATTGTAAAGGCTAGATATGCATTCAATCACCTCCAACGATGCTCAATGAAGTCGAACGCATAGTGCATCTCTCAGGGATTGATCAACGCCAAGTGCTTTATCCTTTTATTTATCCTTTTATTACTCCCGTAGAGGTCACGTTGATGCGAATAGGTTATAAAATTCGGAATCGAAATACAATTTTATAATAACGTTTAGAGCTGTAGTGCAAAGTCTCTTTTATAGGTTTGTCAACTCGATAGATTCTCAGGCATTGTGGTTATTAAAAATTCTCGTTAGTTGTCAAGAAGCTAGTATCATAGCGAGTGTTTCAAGAGCGGTTGCTTTCATACGAGTGTTTTTCAGATGTCGTATTCTTGTCACTGCTGATGGTTTCTTCCGTGGAACGAAGTACATTAATCTAAAGTCAATAGCAGATAAAGCCTTAGAGATAGCACTAGAAGGTGGAGTGAAAGTCGAATCCATCATTGTCGTTAATCACCAGAAACGGGTTACCATCCCGATAGGTTGTGTGGCGCCTGCGGTTAGTACCTTTGTTTTTTCACGGACATACGGTATATTTAGCCTTATTTCATCTTTTATTTTAGGACGTGTTGATGAATCCTATCGATTTTAGTTATACAGCTGAAATGGCTAAATATAAGGGGGTTGAATCACCTGTGGAGTGGATGGATGCTGAAAGTCCGCTGTTTCTGTTATATACATCGTAAGTTAGCCTTTTCTGCATTCATGTTCTGCAATTATACTTAGTTTTTAATGTAGTTGTTTTGTGAATATTCCTCTTGGATATCTTACAACCAGAAGTACTTGACGTTCTTGTTCTCTTAAGCTGGATTACTTCGCGATATTTTGAAATCTGGGCCCTGTTCTGCGCCTGCTTGGGGGCGACTGGTTTCATTTTTTTTAGCCCATCAAATTCTTCATCTTATTAGACCATTAAAAGTTACCATCGAGGAATACTGTGTGTATACTCATCTAAAGTGGCTTTATACAAATAGTGATTAGCGTAGTAGTACCAAAATTAAATCACAACAAGGAAAAAATCCTGTGCTGATCAATCCACTTGTCATTGTTGGAAATTATAACGCAAGATGTATAATTGATTTAATCAGTGGAGACACTGGGAAGTTTGGTACCATTGTTTCATAGATTTTGGTCACGATGTACTGTTTATGTCTAATTATACAGGAACTTGCGAAATGTTAATCTAACACTAACTATTGCTGAATAGTTCCTTTCTAGCGGTTCAACGGGAAAACCGAAAGGAATCCAACATTCCACGGCCGGTTATATGGTATACGCATATTTAACGATGAAATGCACTTTTGATGCTCATCCAGAAAAGGACATCTACTGGTGTACCGCTGACTGCGGCTGGATTACTGGACACACGTAGATATATTTCTTATTTATAATTTTGGAGACTGTTCACCGTTTTAAATATCGTTTTTACTAGTCTTTTGATTTTTTAAAGGTATCTTTTATATGGTCCGCTTATGAACGGTATGACTAGTGTATGGTTTGAAGGACTTCCTACTCATCCAGCACCTGATAGGCTTTGGGAAATAACTGACAAATACAAGGTAGCGTGTGTCGCCCTATTTTGTCCTGCTTTATGTATACCTTAGTTTCTTTAATAGTGTTGAAGATTTAGGTAAACAAGCTTTATACTTCGCCGACTGCAATCCGAGCTTTGATGGCTTTAGGCGATGAACATGTGAAGAAGTTAGTGAGCTTTGTTACCAATGATTTGATTTGTTAGAAGAAACTCTTTCTTTCACTAACTATGGCCGATTATGATAATGAAGAACCTTATTTGATCTAAAATTGTCTGTCATACCACTTTTCGTAGATTAAGTGCACAAGAAATTGAGGAGGAAGTAACAATAAAATGACATTTAGACACTCACGCGCTTCCTTAGAAATTCTTGGTACCGTTGGAGAACCGATTAATCCGGCTGCTTGGTTGTGGTTTTACAACGTGGTTGGTGAGAAGAGATGTGCAATAGTGGATACATTTTGGCAGACTGAAACGGTAGATAGGTTGTCGTATCCGTCTCTTGATAAGCATTAACAGCCTACTTTTTAGGGTGGCTTTATGATAACCCCTTTGCCAGGCGCTACTCCAATGAAACCTGGATCTGCTACTTATCCATTTTTTGGTGTAAATCCAGTGATTCTGGATTCCGGTGGACGAGTTATCGAAGGTCCTGGCGAAGGAAATCTCTGCTTTGATCGAGCCTGGCCTGGAATGTTGCGCACTGTGTTTGGCGATCGTGAGAGGCTAGTTTTTTTTTCTGTCAAATGAAGAGTGTAAATTTTGAGACGAGATATCTCATGTCCTTGTAATATATTTATTTTATTAGAGTGTAATTTATCTTCCCTTATTTCCCAATCGCTACTTCGTCAACCTGCTGAGGTTACATATCCTTTGCATCTTTAGTTTTTTTTTTCTGTCCTTTATTTTTATGTTTCCAGATTCGTGAAAACCTATTTCACACCATTCAATGGGTACTACTTTACTGGTGATGGTGCACGTCGTGACGAAGATGGTTATCTTTGGATTACGGGACGTGTTGATGATCTGATGAATGTCTCTGGTCATCTTCTTTCTACGGCTGAAATTGAGAGTGCACTTGTAGCACATAAAAAGGTTAGTAATTCCACTCTTGACTTAATCGTTCCTATTACTGTGATGCGTTATTCATTTCATCTGTTTAGGTTGCTGAGGCCGCTGTGGTTGCAGCTCCTCATGATATCAAGGGCTCGTTTCCATACGCGTTTGTAATTCTTAATAGCGGAGAGAAAATGAACTCGTCACTCATTGCAGAACTGAAGAACATGGTTCGCTCTCAAATTGGAGCAATCGCTGTTCCTGACGTGATTCAGTCGGCGCCTGGGCTACCGAAGACCCGTTCTGGGAAGGTGACTCGTCGTATACTTCGCAAAATTGCTGAAGGATGCGATTCGGGGATCGGCGACACCACCACACTGGTAGATGAGGACGTTATCAAGCACCTCATTGATGGTCGTGTTAATGGCTAAACACTGCTTTTACACATCAATGCAGTACGTCACTAGCCATTTTTCAAAAGTACCGACTAGTAGTTGATAACATTGAGCTTTTTCCCTTCACAAAATAACCGAGGACATTCCCTGTTAAACCAACTTTAAAACTGCATTAGGTCTTTAAATAGTAACAACCTGTATTACTTGTAAATATTACCTTGTATTACCCTTTATTACCTGTAAATATTACCTAGGTTGAAAACGTTTAGCTGTGATTGTATTTATGTGACAAAGTATTTTATTTACTAGCACAGCATCTCCACTTCTTCGTTTCCGATTACTTCTTTCAAAGTGTCGAAAAAAGTTCTTACTCATAATGTTAGCTACATGGAGAACTCTTGAGACTGTTCCTGTCCTGATTACTTCAGTCTATTTAAAATTAGCGGGTTCTAAGTCTCTAAAGTTTCACCTACTGTGTAGACGTTGTTGGAGAGGTCTGACAGTGTTTCATTTTGAAATCACATACGGTCTGATCTTGTAGAGATGACAGTGGAATTCTCAGATATACAGTGCCTTTAATACTGAAGAGGCATGCTGGAGAAGGAGCATCTAAACAGGTCTAACGTTAAAGTTGCTGATTATAAGTGATAATGTTGGATTGTCAAAGTATTGATGTGAGCTCTGAACAAAGCACCGAGCCAACTATCAGTTCTGTGACGAGTGTGGTGATTTACACCCGAACCTTTGCGATCTCCATCTCCATAGAAGTCGATGTTGCACAGAAACAGTTCTCGAAGAAGTGACGAGACAGTTGATATTGTAGAATGTTCTATGGTATCGGTTTTCAGGCGTCACTTTAGTAATAATGCTCTTTTTAATAATCCAGGGGGGATTTGTCGAGCTGATAGCGAAGCTTGAGTTGTTTTGATACCCGACTTTTCTTTTATGTATAAGTCGGTTGCACCCGATTTGTAGTCATTGGAGGTTGCTATTTGCCGTTTCGTTTCTTTGCTCTGTAAAACGATGCCACAATGGTAACTATTCGAAGCATGCTGTCACTAGTGCTTCCATCGTAGGATGCGTATGTGTGAAAAAATGGTCTAGTGTGTTTTCACCACTTGTTTCCGAGTGTGATTTTGCAAATTAGCTTATTTTGGAGTGCTCTTTTACTTGAATGTAAGAAGATGAAACACAGTTCTCTTCTGGTTCTCGATTGAACCCCATGAACTCTGTTCACTTAACAATCCAAAACTTTTATAATTTTCTGTTGCGTAGACCAAATGACAAAACAAACTCCAGTGTACCTATAGTAGAATGTTTGCCGGAGACCAAGAAATGGAGCTCTTGTTATATTATGGACATATTGAGTGTCAGTCGACGTTCTAACTCTAACGTACTGACCAGCGTACGATATTTCTAGTAATATTTTATTCCCTCCTATTTCCGGGACCATCCAAACATTAATTTTTAGAGAGTCGTATACTGCTGAACAGGTGAGCTCTATGTGTCTACTATTTTTTTTTATGGTGCATGAGCATTTTAAGAATGGATTGTAGGTCTTCTAATGTGGAGTTGTTAGACAGTTCTCTGTAGAACAGTGGCGTTATTTTGGAAAATTTCATTATATACGCCCTTTGTGGGTGGGCGCATTCTACATAGATTATTTAGGATCCATTTTGTTTTTGATAAATGGTGCAGAGGTAGAGGATTGGTAAAGGTGTCAAAAATATGCGTACAATCGTTCAACCCTGCCCAAGCCAATCAAGCTTCCTATCCCTCGGAGATTGGCATATTGATATCAGACCAATATGAGAAGCTCCTTCGGATTCAGAATCCTGGTGCTTTCTTGTGGCTAACGTCTGGGTCTATTGGCAAGCAGTGGGATTCATAAAGAACATCTAAATTGTCAATGAGAAAGCAAGCTCATGCACAAGTCGTAAAACCTTCATGAATAATGGATACGAGAAAATGAATAAGGATCCATGTAACATATGGTGTCGGGTAACTTAAAGCAGTCTAGTGTGAATGTATCCAGTTGGTTGAGTACTGAATAGAGTCTTTTCTATGCTATTCATCCTGTTTACCCTACGTTCTTGAGCTTAAACCAATTCCAACGTTATCCGTTGTAAAACTGTGGAAAAAAAAAAACTTCGACCCAAATCTAATAGGGTGTTTGAGAAACGTTATTAGTGGGTGGGCGGGGAGTGTAGACGTTACGTTAACATCGCAGTCTAGAGAAACAATAACTCGACAATTGCAGTTCATCCATACTTAAAGATACTGGCTAGTAGCTCCTGAGATTTGTAAGGAATGCACTTTATATACTATTATTAAATCCTGAAAGCATCCCTACATTCTCGAATAGATTTGGCTACTGAAGCGAATCTTGTTTTTTTTTTGCATGACCCAACGTTACACGGTGTGGAGCACCCAGCTCTTCTCTCATTCGATTTGCGCTCTTGTTTTAAAAATCCACAAAGATCTTCCGATTAGCATGTGGTTTCTACTGCTGCTTGAGGATTTTCAGGCTTCTTTATGGATGTCGCTGAATGATGATCGAGTCGCTTCTCTCTTGAACATTAAGATAGCTGTGCTAGAGTTCCCAAGTCTACTACACGCAGTCACCAGCTCTAGGGATCAAGTGGAGTTCTCAAACAATTCTCGTGCCACCTCTTCTGTCACCCGGAGCGACGGGAGGCCTTTCGACGTCGAGCCAGGGTGTGGCGCTTGAAAGATTTTTTAGCACTGCGCCACCCTCGCTACTAAATTGTGCTTGACAGTTCTAAAATGTGATCGACCAATTTTTGGCCAATAATTATTCTGTTCAAAGTCTTTTTGTCAGTGTACCAAAGTGATTCTCAACGTGCAATTTAGTGAAGTTGAGATTTGATCAAAGTATTTGGATGGCGCAACTACTGCTTTTGCCATGAAAAACGACATGCGTATGTATATAGCACCTGGAATATTCCATTTCCAAAAATTCTTTGGTTATTAGGACGAACGCTTTTTGTCCTGAAATTAAAATAAAGATTAGGATGCAAAAGGTTTCTTTTTATTTCATTCTCAAGAGGATCAATTCGCATTCATACTTCGTATCTAAGAAGAAGATAATTGTCACAGAAACCATTCTGGTGGTGTTCTATTTATGGCATGGATTCCTTAATGTCGACAAAAATAATAAGGAGGAAGGTAGAAGTTTAGAGTAGCCTTGAATTGACATTGATAGGGGTGTGAACGGAAGAATAAGGATAAAACGATGTTCCAGTGAAATGAAGAGTGGGACAAATCGGATACATGAAAGCACAGAAATGCAACTACAAAAGTGAATTTGGAAGAATTTGTGAGACAGAAACGATATAAAGGGAAGTCAAGAATGAATGTATTCTTCCCCTCGGATAATTGTATCTAACTGATATCCTAAGAAAGTGAAGAATGGAAGCAAATGGGCGAGCTACAGCAATATGTTATCACATATCCTTCCTTTTTTGTTTGTAAGAAATGCTAGCATATTTCACGAAATAAGGTCCTTCGTTGAAGGAAAGTTCACCATTTCTAGTTTCAAACATGTCTATTAAGAAATGTGAAGCAGATGCTTGTGAAGAAAGAGCAACCTAATTGGTTATAAAGTGCCGAGAAGAGAGGTTTAAAGCTTGCAAATGGCTAAACACTTCTAAACCCTTAAGAATGCAGCGTTGATCTATTCCTAAAAGAAGCATCATTCTCCTCTCAAACAGATCGCAGGGCTACTTTGACCACTGCGGTACACGCGTCCTAGAGAAAAGAAAAAAAGGCAAAGGAAGTTCGAACGTAAACATGTTGACTAAAAGGCGAGATTAAAAAAGTGATCGTGACGGCGAAACCAGGTGTCGAGACGTGCTACGTGATATTGCTGTGTAGGATAAAAAGCATCTTGCAGTTAATTCGAATGACGATCAATGACGTTCATTTTCTAAACAGTTATGGAATCTATAGCAACTATTTCCAGAATAGTTACTATTTTTTCATCATATCGTAGGTCTGTGGTAACCATATTCGTGGCCTATAGCATCGCTTTGCGATCTTGCAGCATGTAAACGTTTTCACTTCGTTGGGAGAAACTTTGGTTGTCGTAAACATCCTTTGTGAACCACACTCTTTACACAATCGGAACCTTTCGGGTATTGCATCTGTTCCAAACCATCACGGGTACGGTAACACAAAGAGGCTTGAAGCTGAGCGGCAAACCGTCCTCAGTCATCTGATCACAGGGGAGTTGGAGACGCAAGCTGATGGGTGTTTTCGGTAAAGGTTCTGGACCGGTGCCAAAGTACCGCCTCCTCTAGAAGTTATTTAAAGAGCCCTGTGCGTCAATACCGTATTTGTCTCCCTGCTCATCATGTGTAATGCGCGTTGTAGTCAATCCAAAGTGTTCTCTCTTGTTGTATGTGGTAGCTGTTGTATATTAACATTGCTGTCATGTAGCTCTGTACCTATAGTAAAGACACTAACCTGCATTACCCTCATTTATTGATCATGATACAATATTGCAGTCTGTATTGTACCAATGTTTATATTTCTTTAATTTTGAATTATTATTGTTATAAACGGTTTAATTACCCAAGTTTGAGATATTTATCTGCGACAAGTACGAAAAAATCCCTCGTGGCAACTTCTACGAAGTTGAGCATCCTACTCAGCGTTAGTGATCATAAGGTGCCGAGGACTGAATCGAAGAACTAATTTCCACTAGCAACTGCTATAGAATCTAGGATATTATGCTTTGCAATTTGATAAATGTAACAGAAAGGAAATCTAATTGATTCTAAGCACGGAGTTTCGTTCTGGGACTACAACCTTCGATTCTTTCTTGGAAAGGTTTCTGAACGAATTCAAGTATGTCAGGCACGAAACAGCTTCCACAAGATATGCGTAGGAAGATGCTTATTCAATATTCCAAAAATGACAGTGAAGACAACTATACAGCTAAATTGGTCTAGAAGCTCTATTTTCTTGTCCTGTACATGGTCCTTAAATGTTTCCACTTTTCCAAACTACTT